ACATTTTCAATGAATTTTGACGAAATTTTGACTTTTCTTTAAACCACTCCTTAATGCTTGTAGATGACTTAGAATGCATTCTGAGGTGGAAGAGACGTCTTTTAAGCAAGTTTGATGGAAATTCAGAAATCTAATTTTTCGCCCAAATTTCACAAATTTCGTAAGGGGTTAGCCTTCCATTTTCAATGAATTTTGACGAAATTTCGACTTTTCTTTAAACCACTCCTAAATGCTTGAAGATGACTCAGCATGCATTCTGAGGTGGAAGAGACATCTTTTAAGCAAGTTTCATGGAAATTCAGATATGTAATTTTTCTCCGAAATTTTACAAATTTTGCAAAGGGTTAGCCTGCATTTCCAATCAATTTTGACGAAATTTTGACTTTTCTTCAAACCCCTCCAAAATACTTGTAGATGACTTAGAATGCATTCTGAGGATGAAAAGACGCCTTTTCAGTAAATTTCATGCAAAGTCAGTGATGCAAAGTTTCACCCCAAATAAATAAATTTTGACTTTTTTCTTGCTTTCAAAGGACGGAGAGACGTCTCTTACATAAGTTTCACATCAGCTGCAGAAAGAAACACTCCTCCATAAATTTGGCCCAAATCGTCCCCTGAAATCTTGAAGAAAGCATCAACATTGCACTCACTGCATTTCTTTCCTAGACCCTTTGGGTTAAAATGTCAAGATATCCTTCAGTTTGCAACAACCCTGGATGGTGTTCCATGGTGCACTGTCATCCTCGCTCGCGAGAAAACAAACATTGTCACACCATACCACACAGTGTCAGATGCCTGCGCCTGTATTGGCGAACCCTAATCCTGCTTTGGTCGTTTGTTTGGGTGTTTCCATGACTGATTATGTCTTTGGCATGTTTTTGGTGAACCGAACCACGAATAAGTTTACTTTCTGTCATTCGTTGAGCGTGTTCGCCACTTCAGTGAACCTGTGTGAGGTCATTGTTTCGAGCGCCGAAAGTTGGAGTTGGTTCCGCGTGGGCTCAAAATGGCGGAAATTAAGCAGACAATATTTTGTCGTCTATCAATTCTATTTCAAAATTTGTCGTTACATGCAGCAAATCAAGAGGTAATTTCGTTTTGAATGTGGAAAAGAGAGCAGCACTGCTAACAAACATGTTAAAGATTGAATGAAAATGACATCATCACCATGGTGGTCTGATCCCTTATATTTTGTCCGTCGGATGTTTCTGATTCATCATTTTTGGGGGGCCACCTCAAACATGTTCCAGTTTATTGCTTTGACGTGTCAAACAAGCCCTAGCATAGTAAGGTTTCGCTATTGAAAAAGTCGCTTTCAGAAGTGCTTTCTCAGAATCAAAGTACAAATATGGCGGCCTCTCTAAACTTGGCACTAGGCCTTGAAGAGCCTTGACACCCGAAAAGCGCAGGCAGATCTTGGGATAAAAGTTCCTCATCTTGCCTTATATCATAAACATATAATAATTTCTATTTTCTGCAATAAAACTAACATTTACAGATTCTCTACAAAAAAGACTGTAGCTTATGAAAGTAGATCATGAATGAATTTGCACGATTACTTCAATTTTTTTTTCAAAAAAGACATTAATTTATTTTCAGCTCTTTAGATTTCGTATTTTACCACTTGCCCCCAAGTTGATTAAACACAAATTAAAATACAAACATTAAGATATCGTCAAATTTTCCATTGAAAGTTTTAAAAGTGTTAAAATAGCAATGCAATGTCATCAGTTGCGCGAAAACTCGAATACTTAATAGAATGCAACCATCCATTACATTATTGGAACACAAAAGAGTCAACAATGGGGGAAAGGTGTAGAAACCTTTTCGCAAAAGTGTCCATTGTTTATTATGGCCCGATTTCAAAAAGCGCGGACCACGTTATCGTTTGAGAAAACAACAATGAATGGTATTGCATACTGGAAAGTGCAGTTAGTACTAAGATGTCTCCTATAAATGTGAAGAATCATGTCCAACAAACTATTGCAAAATATTTCCCATGCAGCCAAATTTGTTAAACTTCACAAACGTTGAAGTAATCCAAACGTTGTAGTAAACCATTCCAAGATGTGAATTTTCATACAAGTGTATTGTTTGGTTTAAGCAGTCGATCACAGATTATACCCTTTTCCAAGAAAAACGCCATCAAACAATAATCAATTCCATATCCATTAATTATTCACAGTAAGTAGTTTTAAAATGGCAATCCAAGCTCATATCATCCCTCACACTGTTAACAAGTATATTTGGACCATAGCTCATCTATTTAGAATGAACGAAAATCTGGACTGTTTACCCTTTGACTGACAGTTAACCTTTAGAATTGTACCCAGTTGGGTTAATAGTTCAACGGAAAAAGTGCGAATTTGAAATGAGTCCATTTAAAAGAGTAAATTTCAAGACGTATCATAATGCATCATTGCAGAAAATGTTGTGCACATTAGCGACATCAAAGCCGCATGAAGTTTCAAAGTGGCAACCGAAAAAGTGAACAGTTTCTTTTAACTTTTTTCTCCACACAACAGCTACAGCGTCACACTGCTTCACTAACATGTTATGGGTAGTGCCACGTGCGACTTCTTTTGCCATGGAAAACTGAGAAATAGTATTATGATCTTCTGGACTTGATAAAGTAGAAAGCCATCCCAATGAGAGCGAAGAGTAGGCCTATGAACATAATGCTCAACCCGGCCGCAATTCCAGCTTTACTTTTCCCATTTGACTCAGTTGTCTGGCTGGGTTTGTCCGAAATTAGCGTAGTATGGCGGGTCGTTGTGCGGTCTGTGATGGGGTGGGTAGGCTCTTTAGCCCCCATGGCTGTTTGTCCAGTGGTTGGTGGAGAGGGTGAAGTGGCCTGAGGAACATCACCTCTTTGTTCATGGGTGCCGATTCCTAATCTAGCCAAAGGAAGATTATTCTCGTATAGAACGCTATCCCATTCGTCACGAGTCGGTTTAAAGGCCACAGGAATTAAATTGTCTGGTTCACCAGAAACTGGATTCAAGCTTGTCAATGCATTGTTTGCCCCGATAACATTTGGTACGTCTGTTGATAATGACGGTTGTGACCCAATGGTTGCCAATACGTTCCCACTAGTTGTCTGTGCCTCTGTGGTCTCTATTTCTGTGGTAAATAGTCTGGTTGTGGTGACAAGTTTAGTTGTGATTATCGGGTGGGTGGCAACTGGTTCAGTGGTGGTAACTGGTTCCAACGTGGTAGCCACCAGAGTGCCAACTGGTTCAGTGGTGGTAACGGGTTCCAACGTGGTAGCCACCAGAGTGCCAACTGGTTCAGTGGTGGTAACCGGCTGAGTGGTAACTGGTTCAATTGTAGAAACCGGCTGAATGGGAATGAGTTTAGTTGTGGTAATCTGTTGGGCAGTAACTGGTTCAGTGATGGCTACAGGCTGAGCGGTAACCGCTTCAGTCGTGGTAACCGACCCAGTGGTAACTGGTTCAGTTGTGTTAACCGGCTGAGTAGTAACTAGTTCAGTTGTAGAACCCGGCTGAATGGTGATGAGTTTAACTGTGGTAATCTCTTGGGCAGTAACTGGTTCAGTGATGGTTACAGGCTGAGTGGCAACCACTTCAGTCGTGATAACCGACCCAGTGGTAACTAGTTCAGTTGTAGAAACCGGCTGAATGGTGATGAGTTTGGCTGTGGTAATCTGTTGGGCAGTATCTGGTTCAGTGATGGTAACAGGTGGAGTGGTAACCGGTTCCGTTATGGTACCCAACTCACTTACGGCTACCAGCTGGGTATTATCTGGTTCAGTTGTTCCAATCAGTTGGATAAATGGCTCAGTTGTAAAGATCTCACCAGTAGTCATTAGAGTAGAAGTCGTTGTTTCGAAGAATGACAGCCCACTGTTACTAAATTCTCCAGAGGATTGCTCCCAAAATCTGTTAGTATTCACTGTTGGGATGACTGCAGGTGTCTGTGGAATACTCTGCTGTGTTGTGCTAGACAATTCGGGCAGATTGCTGTCTGTGCGTCGAATCCAGAGTTGTCCCACAGCACGATCGCCAAGACCGAGTTGTTTCTGTTCTACCCGACAAATAATAACTGATAATTCGTCTCGAAGAGTTACGTTTATGATCTTCAGCTTGACGCCTTTCCGAAGAAGTCTGTACTTAGCTGTTGACTTGGTAATCACATTACCATTCACGGTCCACTGGTATTCCAAATTCGGCACGTTCTCACTGATGCAGTTAAAGATGACACTGTCCCCGGGGGTGACCCAAGTAACAACCGGGCGAAGCATGACTTTGATACGGCTCCGGAGTGGGATCACGTAGCAAGACCGGGGCTGAGGCAAAGCTTCGTTCCGTGCTAAGCAGGTGAATCTGACGTCTCGATCGGCTTCCGTGAGAGTATGTTTGTAACCTATTACCGTACGAGTAGCGTGCGGTATAAAGGTGGATCTTACAATCTGTTTGCCTCGTACCCAGGTTAACGTGGCAGGTGGTTTTCCGCCTCTGGACTCGCACACCAAAGTAACGTTATCGCCAATTTTCATCTCTAACTTGGGCCCCAGGAGACACAAGGGAAACCCCTTATCTGGAGGTTTCAGAACTTTAATTCGCACAACCTGGGAGTAATAGGCTACGTCAGTGAAGTAGGCACAAGCGTAATATGAGCCATCTGTCATGGATACCCGGCGAATCATCAAATTATATTCTCCGTCAGAATTACCTACGATCCGGTACCTCCCACGAATGGAGTCGTTCAGCCTGTTAAATGGGTCGATCTTACGGTCCCGGCTTAGATACTGACCCGTCAATACGTTCTGCCAGTACACGCTGATACCGGATTGGTCGTCGACTTGACATCGAAGCGTAACCGTTCGGCCGATGACAACCGTCTTTTGGCCAGGCTCAACACGGAACGAAATGGCGTCTGCCCCAGCAACCACAAGCAAAAGAAGTATGAATTCCAATCGTACCATTCTGCTGCCAAGATCCAATGTCAGTAAATAGGAATGTTGCCTTGCGGAAAATATCCTCTCAAAATAATGATAAAAACGAAAAACAAAGCATTTAGCCTGATATTGATGTTATGGCCACTTCCTTATCGATATAACTAACTTGTAAAATGACGACAGACCAGCGCTAACGGCACTTACAGTTGTGATCAAACGGAAATTGGTTGGAACAAGTAAAGTGATGATACCAAGGAACAAACGGCTAGATTGTAAGTGACTTTCAAAAATGACAGGTGCGTCGAGGCCATCCAAGCCAGGGATTCGTAACCTCAATCCTCTCAGGGTCAATTCAACTTGACTGTCGTCAGGAAGTTGCCAGGCCTCATTTCTGTCAGTGGGATAACACAAGTTCCTGGAACAAGGCGGGAACGGTTTCGTCACTCCTTGACAATGACATGGGATACAGCTCATTATATGAATGATCTCAACAGTTCAATGACTGTACAGGAAGACGAAAGACAGTCGAATGTAGGGCCGTGATGTAATGAATATATCACAAAACGTATTGACGATCATGATGCCAGCTAAAGTCCACACGGGACTTCACAAATACAAATTTCTAGCGAAGCAACAATAAATCCTTCGCCTCACAGGTTTAAAGATTTCTGAGTTTACCATCGAAAGATTTACAAGGACAATTTATTACCCTCATCATTTCTGTTTCGAGATCGCTAAATTTCCAGTTCACAAGTCGCAATCAGTTCAATCTGCAAAACGAAACTGCTTTTCCGAATCTCCAGAAACGTATACTGAAAGTGTTTTAAGCCGACATAAGTAGGCCCAGCACCTCACGTCAAGATCTCATACATGTAACAATTAATGTTGAAATCAATTCGCAACAAGATAAAATTGTTCTAGCATGAATTTGAATAATGTTTTTCTTTTTCAAAGCACTTGGCCCAGTGCTGACATTGTTTCAGGCATGAGTATTTTGTTGTGTCACAACAGGATGACAAAGACTCGGCACTCGGCCAAATGTGTGCGGGAAATCAGCTCTCCTTTCACCAGCAGGGAGATTTATTCGTCATCGTTGAAGGTGTAGCAAGGAGTATGGACCACCATGCATAATACCATCTTGTCGACATAAGCTAGTACAAGCATGCAAAGTCGACATGAAACTGTAGCCAGATAGAAAACCTCCAAAGAACACTAAACCAAAAAATGAGATAATTTCTATTCAGATATCTCTGTAAATCTGCATATGAATTTACAGCAGCTCTAAAGACGTGAGATTTTCCAGTCTTCGAATGTTGATTGCTAGTGTCAATTGGTTTACCCGTTTTCAAGCGCGGCGAAGGTCAGTCTAACGTTGATAAACCTGACAGCATACGTCCACAATCACAATGACAGGTGTCAAAGTCAGCGTCATATAAGAGTTTCAATGATTTCAATTACCCTTTAACTGTACAAACTAACAGTTCAAAAATTCTTAGCACCGTTAAACCGGTAAGCATTTTCAACTGATTGGACACAATAAGAATGTTTTCATGAATACATGTATTCAAAATCAGTTACAGGCCTCAGGAAGCTCTTAAACATTTTAGAATTTCTCCTCGCTATCAAAGAAAATTGTAATCATTGTTCTGCAAGATTTCACATTATCAAGCAACAAAGTTAAAGGAGTAATATTCATATTAAAACATAATTCACATATTTATCACAAAAACATAATTGCTCTAAAGATGCACAGATTTGTTTTAGTTTGGCAACGAACATACTTAAGGGTTTTCTTTGCTGTTACGTACTGTTCATAGGTAAATAAAATAGATCCTCTGTTTCGTGTTATCATTTTACAGTGAAGCAGAAACCGTGGAAAGAAATGTATATATAACCTGTTTTCCTTCCTCCATCGTACAACCCTTCATTCTTGGAGTCACTACTTCAAAAACTGAAAAAATGCAGGTTTAATACTACTACAGAACTCTTAAAAATAAAAATATACCATATTCACAATAAGGAACATTTTGCTTTCCTGACTTTTGGAAGATAATGGTTGCAAATTTAAAGCCAAAAGTTACATAGATCTTTAAGTATGAAACTACTGTCTTTTGCGTCTTATCCATTGCACTGATGTCCTGATTGTTTGCACAACATTCGAGGTTTCTTATCAAAACCGACTAATACAAGAAGTACAAAATCTCAAGAGTTCAGCAGTGTGAAGCATTGTGATGCAGTCTATGCAATTTTAAAAAGTATTGTCAGGAATGGTTCAAAAACTCAATTTCAAAGTTACATTTGAAAGAGATATTTGCAAGGGGGAACAAAATGGACCACGTATGAGAAAAAAAGGAAAAGCAAACAAAAACCCTCCATCGTATTCCAATATTTACTCGACATTTACAACAATATTTTCTTTCTGGACGGTAAGGTGGGGGTCAAAGATACTTCTCTGAGGCTAATGACTTCTCAGGAGGAATAATCACAATCAACAGAATAGCTGATATTGCAAAGACTGTCCCAGCCATTCCTGGTGCATTCGGTCCAATCTCTAACATCGCTCCACTGAGTATCGGGGAAAAGGACCGCGACACCGAAGCCATTGATTGGCTGATACCTAGTAAAGTACCAGCATTCCTGACATCACTCCTTTGGACGCTGAGGTCGGTGACGCAAACCCGCGATATTGGGTTTGTGATTGAAAGTGTGGTCATAAAGAAGACAATGAAATACAAGTTTGGAGCAAAGGTCAATCCAAACAGGTTCACCATTAGAAGGCACGTGGTGTGAAACAGCAGTTTGGAAATGTCATCATAAAATGTAACAATTTTCCCGACAATTATTCCAAAGAAAACAGAGACAAGTGCACCATAGCTAATCAACCAACCGTTGATTCGAGCGGAGGTGTTAAACTTTTCCTCCATAATGAGGGGAAAATTATCACGAAACATCATCACCGAAATTCCAAGCAGGAACCTAAGTAGGAGTAGATCACCGCTAGATCGCACAATTACCTTGAAGGCCTGGAAGAAATTGGCTCCAGTATGACAGCTGTAGTCATCTTGCATGAATGATGCTACAGACTCCGTCCTCTGTAAGTGTGCATGACCGGTAGGATGGACAATGAGGTATACAAACACTGTAATAGAAGCAACAGGTGGAGCGTTACCACAAAAGTGAACAGGTGGAGCGTTACCACAAAAAGTGAACAGGTGGCGAATATCAATCTGATCTCAAATACTAATCTGCAACCAATTATGATCGATGGCAATTTTGGCAGGTGTGACTTTTAACTAGAATTCGTTTGACGAAGACAATGTCGAAGTGGGGCAATGCCAACCTAGAGGTCAAAAGGAAACTTTGATGGATAACATTTCCATACAAATCCAAAGGAAACTCAAAGCTTTTTTGCTGAGGGTAAATCATGCTTTTCACTATCAACAAATGTTTCTGAAAGGATTCTATAAAAATGTTCATTTTCACAAACACTTCAGATTATATGTCATGGTCATATACACTAAAACTCACAAAGGTGTGGAATACTGAAGGAAATTATGCCAAACTCCGATCAAATCTGAATTTCAAACCTTGATGCACTCGTTGATATGTGCACACTGATTTTCTTGGTGATTCTATAACAATTTTTACAGAATACTAATTACTTTTGCTACAGGTATTCACTTCTTTCAGCATTTACACTGCAACTTTTATGCATTACCCAAAATCCTTTTTTTTCCAATAAGTTTGTGATACTCACAGAGGTTGACAAAGAAGATTGCTGTCGTGCACATGGCAACACAATAGAACCCTCCCTCATACTCGGAAAGGTAACCACCGCACAGGGGACCGATGATGAAACCAATGTTTGACGCAGCGTTAAAACGACCAAACACACGAGGGCGCTCTCTCCGTGGCGTTACTTCTGTAAGAATGGCTTTCACCGTTGCCATACCATGTTTAAAAATACCTAGTGAAAAAGGTCAGTGACCAAAATGACGAAAAAGACAAAGAAATACAAAAAAGCTGCTGAACAAAATTGAATTTCTGATTTATTTCTCCAAAATGCACTTCACAATCCTTCTAATCAGGGAATAAGGTCATTCATAAACTTGCTAAAACCCTTATCTATAAATATATCTGCTAAAATATATTTGCTTGAACAAAAATTACAGCCATGAAAATCAACATTCTTCAACAATTTCTTTAATTCCATTTTTGAAATCACTCTCTCACCCAGTGGAATTCTTGAAACAAGCAGGACTGCAAACGATGTTGCAAACACGTTGAGGGAATATCCCAATGCTGATACCAACAGGCACATTAATAAGATCTGTCTTCGACCGATGACATCGCCAAGTCGTCCCTAAGAACAAGGACATAAAGATTCAGATTTATTTAGGATTTGATCAGACTAGTGTGGGAAAGACAAATGAGATAAAATGTAGCTCTCTTCAGACAAAACAATGGCTTAACCAAAACAGAACATCTAAACACCTGCTCTACATAAACACAAAATAAGGAACACATGAAAACTATAGAAAGGAAAATGCAACTACAAAAATCATATCTTTGAAGTCAAATGAATAATTAAGTTTGACAGAAAAAAGTTTGAATTAAAACGCACCACAAAGGGGCCTGAGATGAGCTGCAGAACACCATACACAGATCCTATCAGCAAAGAAGAGTTCAGAATAAATTCTTTTAAATTTTGATCAACAGAAAACAAGGATCTTCCCTGTCTGAGGGAGAAGCAGGTGCACTATGTGAAGTGTCTTGCTCTTTAGGGAGCATCCATAAAGTCGGAACATTCCCACTAGAACACTAGTGTTTCAACCATTGTGAATAATGAGATACTCCCTAAGGGAATATGTGATTACAGAAGGCTCAGAGGTAACTAGTCAATGTGTCATTCTGTAGAATGACATCGCATGCATTACATCACATGGTGTATGCAAAAAACTCTTATTTACATTTGCTACGACTCAACCTCGTATCACGTCACATGTAGTTGCTTTCGACATTCTTTCGATCTTTAATTCTAAATCTCGGTCCTTTTTTGTTAGGGTCCTTCTTGAATCATCCACAATGCTCCCATGTTCAGGAAATCTACACTGCATTCTTGGTCCCTCACATTTCAAAGAGCATCAAGCCTTAAGCTGGATTCAACCTGACTTCTGAATCTCCCCAAATTTCCCACTCATCTTGATAGATGTTGAAGTAGAGGTTTAGCTAGGCCCAATGAGAATCTTACCAACAGCACCAATCCAGACAGGTGATGCACCAAGATGTCTAGCATGATGTGGGAGTAGAGGAAGTAACATACTGACACCAAATAAATCCTGGATGAAACAGAAATGGAAGATAAAAAGTCAGACAACTGACTAAAATCATACATAAAAATGACTCTGCACATTGCCATGAAGATACAATTTATCTTGATGTATAACCATATCATTTGTGGGTGATGCTGACAGTATTTGTTTTCAATTTACAGATAAGCATTTTCAGGGTTTGCAAGGTTCAAATTCAAACACAAAAGCAATATATATTGAAAGACAAAATTGGAAAACCTGACTATCATTCCATAATTATAAAATACACAGTACTCTAGCATTCACAGAAAATTTTGTTACTTTATTCAGTCAGTCAATCTTCATAAAAGATACATATCAGTTTATTAATAACCAGCTCTGAATTTTAACAACCACAAATTTAAATGGACAAGTCCTCAGAAATTATCAAATTCTGAGAAACATTAAATTGACATAAACATAAACCAAGAAATATGACAAAAATGACATACATGTACACTGTATATGACATTATGAAATACATGCACACTGCGTCGCATACGGTATATGACATACATGTACAGTAATATGGCATACAGTAAATGACATGTTGTACATGTATATGGCATACAGTAAATGACATGTTGTACATGTATATGACATATAACATACATATACATGTATAATTAACACTACTACCATCATTTGAGCAGCATATCTTTAGCAATGACTTGTCTTCTGTTCTTTCAAAAATCTCAAACAGAGATTCATTGCAATGCTTAAATCACTTACTAGGAATTTCTTCCATCTTGATGTCGCTACAAATGCTTGGGGCCCATTTACAAAAACATTGTAAAAATTGTTCGGATCATCTCTTTTGAGGAACTTGCCCAAAAAATATATTCACAAGTACCAGTGCCGTCATTCTTGGTCAACATACTCCAAGACTGTCACCCTTGCGTTTCATTATGAAACATGAAAACCTTACATCTGTGCATTATTATATGTGACCCACCATCCCAAGACCTGGCTGAAGTAGGTAACTTCATAGCCCTAAAATATTAGAACTTCCACTGTTCAGATCTGCACGGGAGTTTTACAGCTATCACAACCCATAAGGAGATTACTGCAGACAGAATGTCGGTTTAACATGTAAAATAAAAGCTGAAGGAGAGAAATTGTCCAAGAGTAAAATACCAACTAAAGCCTGGTTTTGGGATGGCGGGTCACGTATGACACTCCAACAGAATGTTCAGGTTATATGTACAAGATCCTACGGTTAATGATTTGTCAGTTACAAATAACAAGGTGGTATCTATACATAATATTTCATTGAAGTTCAAAGATAAAAACATTCTTGAAATCTCTGAGATTTGGAAACAGTGGAATGCATTCTTGCTAAGAGTACCTCTAAGGAAAATGTTTTCTCTGATTTTAAATGTTCAAATAAATATGGCAGCATCCAAATCAACCACAGTGTCGTTTGTCTTCAGAGCTCAACTGCAACAAGCTAAAAAGGTGTCATTCTGAGAAAACAGAGAAACGAGGGGAACCCTCGCCCTATGCTCGTAGTGGATAAAGCCTTGTGCATGCCAAACAATGCATGTAGCCATTGTTTGGCAAGCATAAGGGTTTATCCACTACGAACACAGGGCGAGGGTTCCCCTCATTTTCTCTGAATTACACAATCTACATTCAGAATTGCTATCTCGGCATGAACAGAAAAAAACCCTTTTAAGCAAGTTATAGTTGAGCTCTGCAGACAAATGACACTGCATTTGATTTAGATGCTTCCATGTTTATTTGAACAGATGAAATCAGAGAAAACATGTTTTCCTTTGAGTTGCTCTTTAATAATGGTCACACCTTTCCTTTTGGCAATGTGTTTGCTGAGTCAATATCGAGTCAATCAGATTTCTTTTCTGAAGCTATCGTGGCTCTTTCTGGAGGAAAAATAATAATGAACAGGCTACTAATCGCAGCACAACACACTCCTGTCAACCCAGGGGCATAGGGACCAAACTCCAGCATAAACCCACTAATAAATGGGGCAAAAGATCTTGTAACAGACAACACAGATTGGCTGATTCCTAGCAATGCACCTGTGTTATCCAAACTACTGCGCCGAACACTAAGGTCAGTCAGACAAACCTTGGAGATGGCATTTTCCATGGAAAGCAGTGCAGTAAAGACCACGACAACAAAAAATGTTGGTGCATATGTCAGTCCAAAGAGTGTGAAGCACAGCAAGACGGAAGAATGCAAAAGCAGTTTGGAGATGCTGCTATAAAAGGACACCACCCTACCCACCAGCATGCCTGAAACCACGGCCACAAGAGCAGAAAAGCTCATGAGTTGACCGGTGACGCTCGGCCGAGCCTGAAAACGATCTTCCAGAATCAGAACAAAGTTGCTACGATATAACATGACACCTGAACTCATCAACAGTTGCAGTAACAAGAGATCACCACAGGAGCCAAGGATCGTCTTGAAGGAATGGAAAAAGTTGGTCCGGATGCTGTACTCCTCCTGAGTGAAAGCAGCCACTGACTTTGACTTCTCAATGGAGTCCTGCTTCTTGGGATGTACAAGGAAGTAGACAAACACTGTAATAAACAATTAAAGAAAAAACAACAATCAGAGAGCTCCAAGTTCACTCCTACGAGGGTGTGAAGAAAATTGAAAACTGTCTCATTAAATAACTTCATCAGCTATACGCAAACCTAAAAATTACACACTGCAAAAGCAAGCTACAATATCTTAAAATCAAACCTCCCACAATCCTGGAACCAAATTTTTTATGATGATACAAATTGTAGTTAGAAAAAGGCTACAAGAATTCATTAAAGATGTTTTCCATGAAGTGGTTTCAGCAACCGATGCATTTTCTGTCTTTATCCAGCCCCCCTTTGAGCAAGAGGAACTTTTAAAGTTTAAAGCATATACTCACAAACATTTATGGCAAATACAATTGCTGTGCAAGTGGCTACTTGATAGAATCCACCTTCATATTCCGAGAGGTAACCACCACACAGGGGACCAATGATAAACCCAAAGCTGGAGGCTGCATTGAAACGTCCAAACACCAGAGGGCGCTCTTGCTTAGGAGTAATTTCAGCCAAGTAGGCCTTGACTGTTGCTATGCCATGCTTGAAGATACCTATGGGTGAAAAATGAGAAGCAAAGTGGGTTGGAAACATCTGTTTTCTGCCATCTCATTTCTGCTACCAGCACTGGATTCTCACAATTCAATGTCTACTTATCCATGCAGGATGTGTTATCGAGGCTATCACATGCAGCACGTCAGTTGCTTGAATTCCTCCTATCATAAACAGACATTTTAACCAACAAGAACAGTCTGAACAAATCCTCAAGCATCTGACATGCAACCTGTCAAGCAAATCATCCTTGCACCAATGAATATAAAGGTGTAAAAGATCCAGTAACTTAAGCATCAAACTTAAAACTGAAGTGTCAAAACTCACCAAGAGGGACTCTTGCACAAATGAGAACGGTGAGTGAAGTAGCAAAGATATTGATGGTGTAACCAACCATAGTCATGAAGAGACAGGCAAGTAAAACCAATCTGCGGCCCATCATGTCGCTCAGTCGACCCTAGAAAGGTAAGCAATGTTCAAGTTTGTAAAATGTGTCTCACCAGACAAGAAGTCTCTGACATTTGTGTCAAAGATTTTAGGTGTATAGGAAAGCTTCACTGAAAATGGTGTAGGTAGGTAATCTTCTATTCCAAAATCACCTGAAGTCAACATAGCACATGTGGGTGAACTTCCATCACTGAGCAAATAACAACAGCTAAGGTCAATCTCTAGCACTCCACCTCTGTAACCTGAGTTCATAATCCTTCAATACCTGCTATTTGAAGTTGGTTTCTGACTGTGTATAGTGCAAATTTCTTCTTTGAATATTAATGCCTCAGTTCTTTCTTCCCGTTCATTCTATCACATACATTGCAAGCTATTGACCACCAGGTTACAATTTTATAAAGCACAGTTCAGTTTATTAAAAAAAGACAGAGAGTGTACAGATACATTCTAATCAAATATCCCAAGCAATGTTTAGGGCGCAGTTAAACAGTCATTGATACTCAAGAGGCTCATGTACATTGACCAACTTACCATCACTGGACCAGAGACCAGTTGAAGAAAGCCATACACCGAACCTTCAGAAATAAAAAAAAAAGATGAGATGGCATGAAATGTTGGCGAATTGGGGAGGCAGGGAATAACGCACACAGTGAGTTAATCTCAGAAGGTTGGTACAATTTGATGACTAAGAAAAGTCAAATCTTGCTTAAAACACAAATGTTTACTTCTAACCCCATGGAGGGCCGCAAGAACTCAGGAGTATAAGAACTAATCATCAAAGATTAAGTGATTACTGGATTTCCAACAGTCTTAATATTTCTTCTCACCTACAGCACCAACCAAAATGGGAGAAGCACCAAGATTTCTAGCATGACGAGGCAGTAGTGGAACTAGCATTCCCACACCAAACAAGTCCTAAGTACAAAAAAGCAAATGATTCATCAAACAAAAGTAAGTTTTAGTCTGGTTCTGGATCATGTCTTGTCTTGTAGCATAGAGAACTACGTGTACAGGTTCAAGATGAATTTCGAAACATACGTTATAATCAACATGACGGTTGAATTACAGGATATAAAATGGCTTCACAAACATTACTCATACAAATTCTACGTGAAAATTGACTCAAGGAAAATTTCCACAGTAAAGGGCAAGAATAGATTCACTTTTTGGAAACAAAATGCTCAGGCAGTTTCTAGTCCTGCATTACAATTTACTCATCTTTTTGGAAGTAACAGGAAAGTGACTAGGCCTGAAAGAAGAAAAATCATTTTAAAAAGCTCTCCCTCCAAAAAGTGCCAGTGAACAAAATAAACCTACATTACTGTCAGCATTATCTGAATAAATTCTATTGCACTTCTAAATTTTCTAATGAGAAACTCCATTTTGTCAAAGACTGCTTTGCCTTTTCTAAACTTCCATAATCTAACAATGCATAGTAATCCAAACACACATCCTTTGTACTTTTTACAAAAATCATCAGTTTTTCTTCTTGTTGATAAAACATGACCGAGTTCTAAATCCTGAATCTTCTGAAGAAACTTTTAAAAGGTGGACATGGATTTTTATGGACTTTAGTTATGGTATTAAAAGCAAATGCGTAAAAAAATTATCATGAACTGAAGTACCTGGAATGCAAATTGAAGATGAAGAAAGTATGAGTTCTTCTGATGTCATGAATGTCAACTGGGATCCCAATGAATACAATATCAGAATTTCAGTCACTGAAATAACCCACATGGCAAGCTGGAAGGGATATAAAAATTTGCAGCTGCGCAAAATAAACTCAGTAAATATCTTCTCAATGCTTTCTAAAATGTGACACACAGAATATTGCACACGTAGAAGACCTTTTATGCAAGCATCAACAACTTTAAACGATTCTGTTTAACCCCTTGAATTTCTTTCCGAAAGCTGACTCCAAGAATTCCAGCCTTGCTTGGATACGAAGGCCACCTGCCAAACTGCAAATTCTCGGTTTGTGGCCCTGTGTGCTCTGCACACTTTGAATTACACAGTGAAAAGGCAGATTGTTCGGTGGCATGCGGCTCTACTCAAGCTTCCACATTCCCGTTGCCTCTTTACAAAGTGGGGACTATTGTGAAGCTGGTGATTATGATGCAAATTCAGTCTTTTCATTTCTGGGCAACACACAAAGGCCAATCACCATATCCACAAGAGCATGGGTCTGCCTTCTTTCACCGTGTTCGCTCGAGTGTGAAGCGAGAATAATAGCTGAAAAGCAGGCTGAAGATCTCGATTTTTACGGCGGCTCTAGCCCACTTCCCGGCGCAAAGGGGTTAATGAATATAAATACCCACTGACACTGAACGTGTACACCAAACGACAGGCCTACAAAACAATGAATATTTAAAATCAATGAAGTGGCATGTATCAAGTACATCATGTACAGTAGCCTTAGCTTAAATAACTCAAGCTTGAGTAACTCGAAGTAGACTGGCATTACTAGTCAACTTGCTAGTTTAAAAGGGGGCTTACTACAGTCTGACAGTAGTACTTCTCATGACAATGAATTCTTTAAATTACCAATAATAGCCCAAGGGAGTTTTCAATAGGCCTGCATGTGGCTCTGGGACTAAAACATTAACAGGTAGACATTAACATGATTGACAAAATTAGGCATTTATAACATTAATTTGACGGAGTGAAATTGGTTACTTACCGGTTTTACTTGTTTTATGTTCGACATTCAATATTGAACAAGTATATGTAATTATTTCACATTCAGCGACCACTCAGGATGCACATTCCTAGAAACGATGGAGTGCAAAAAGGAAAAAAAAAAAAACTGTGCCACCTACACTTCAGGGCTTGTTTCACCTGAAAACCCCATGCCCCAGGTAGCCAACTGACTGAGAACAATGACGTCAGATTCAATGCACTCTCAAGGTGGGGCATGAGGCTTGGGTATTTTATTTCAATTTGAAAAAGGTGTGATGTGATGCATTCAATAAAATCTCTGGTTTGCAAGCAAAGAACTCCGCTGACAAGACTTCAGTCAAAGCCGTTTTGACCGTGGAAAACTGATTTGCTCTGGTTGAAACGGACGAAGCAACGGATCACTAACATGTACAAAAAATAAGTTCAGACCCAGGGCGTGGGCTTCACGTATACTATTTGGATTGACTGAATTAGTTTTGAGGAAACAGCAAATACATAAATCTAACTCTATCCTCTAAATCTTTCCTCTAATTATTATATTGCTGTAAAAAAGTCTTCAACATTTCGGGGCTTGTTTGACCCCAAAATCCCTATGCCCAGGATTGCCACTGTGGAAGAGAGTTTTATGTGTATACGTCATTGCAAAATGGCATGTGCAATGTAAATATGACACATGTACATGTGAATGGATGTGCATTGTGGCGCAGTTGGGTTTTTTGGTTTTTTGGGGGGTCCATTTTGCACTCAATCATTTCTAAGAGTGTGCACCCTGAATGTCAAATGGTCACTTGTTCAATACTGAATGTCAAACGAGGAGCAAGGAACTACATGTAACTTCACATTGGTCATTAACATGCATGACGTTAGAGTCGCCACGCCCATAATTTTGCCATTTATTGTCAAGTCTAATTGGTTCACATACTAAATGGCAAAATTAGGGACTTGGTGACTCTACCCTGATGACACACATAATAATAGCCAGAGTAGGACGTAAGTATAGAAACTGCAACCTGCCCTCACCAACTTCTTTGAATCAGATTCAACAATCTGATGGTAACATTGTGTCTGTGACCTCACTTCCAATTCATTTATTTTCGGTTTCATACATCATCACGTTATTATAAAGATTATGTCACAATCAGGGCGTTTGTACATTTCAGGACCCTGTTCTCTTTCATAGAATGAAAACTTACTTTTAAACTTTAAACCTAACCTTACTAGGCCAACTAGAATACACTATGGAGGAAGACATGCTCCATGCTAAATAACTGCAGGATTAGTTTTGTGGAAAGAGGGCAGGGTTTTGATTTATGAGGGAAATTCTGGGGTAAAAAGAACCACGGCGACATCACTGTCCAGTGCGTCAGTGTCAGAAAATCAGGTAAGTGTAGGCCCTAAATGGGGCAAGAAAGTCACATTTTCTTCAAATTCATTGATCTAACTTTACACAAAATTGGGTTAGCATTATTAAGAGAACATTGCCTTAGGTTGGTCTCTTTTGCAGGTCAACCTCTTCAAGACTTTTGTACAAATGATAATGACAGGGGGGTTCCGAAGTTCATACTTACTAAACAATAAGGCACTACTCAGTAGGCCTTACTGCACTTCACCGTTTGATGGCCTGTATGCTTTGGTATTTTGAAAGCTGCCCAGTCATCCATGTCAAGACATCTAAACTGCTGCCAAAGTTTTAGAAGAGCCTATTGGTACATGTAGAATCTTATTGCTCAATCCGTGTATTGCATATGTCTTGACATGGAACAGCCGTCGAAACGATGAGGGGTCAAGTGACGTAATGTTCAACGACCTTATTTTAAAGATAAACGACTGAGAGAGCGAGCCTGTGAGATTGAATGGATAAAGGCAAAAAGACTGGAAAATATCTGAATAACGTGAGTGAAATCATTCAATAAATGGTTTTTAGAAAGCGGAAAGGTCAAGGATCATGTCCGTGTGCAAAAGAAATTGCGCCCACTATGATAAGCGGGTGCGCCGAAAATTTTCAGTACGCCGACACAAAATTGCGTATACGGATGTGTGGCTAAGGATGGATCAGGAATGAGAGTCCGTGCCACACTACACTAGTGGGGCTAGGTTGGGGGAAGATTTGCTTAAGCAAGTGCAAACGGATACTTTATCTGGTACGATGATTGGGCAGCTTTCAAAATGCCATAAGCGAGCGGAACCATCAAAAAGGCCTACGGAGAAGTGCCTTACTGTTCAGGAGGTATGTAAGTTCACAAAACGCAACAATCAGACCATAACGTTATCATGGTTTAAACGAATTTAATTTACCAGAAACCCAACGAGATAGAGACAGGAGGTCAGGTATATTCTGTGACGATGATCCATCATTTTGCTGTCACTCTTTCTATCTCTGCTTTCGGAAACAACGTTATTTTCCGGCGTTTCTTCTGTCATTGTGCAGTATGTCGTGACCTGTGCTGAGAACTAGTAGATGCACACGTAGTACATACGCGAGGACTATTCAAATGGTTCCTAGATTAAGTACATTTAATCCTTCACGAAAGATTGGAGTGCCTGACTATCGGCTACATATTACGTGACTGGCTTATTGTTGTCTCTTGGGGGCGATATAATACTCAGCTTGTTCGGCAGAAACCATGCCGTGTTATCATTGGAATGTCAAAATTTTGTTGCTTAAATTGGCAGCCAGCATCTGTGAGAAGAAAAAAAAAACGATAGTTGCAAGCGGAGATTCCATGTCAACACTGTCAAGGAAACTTCAACCGTCTAATTATTATACTCATGAAGTTGTATAGTCAATATGCCGTGAGCCTTAATACCAAAATGAATACAGCAATCGATAAACTTTTCCCCATGAGTATTATCTATCACGCTCAAAATTTCACTACCACGATGATCGTAAATTTTACAAGTGTTTTTAATGGGGAGGCAAGTGGGAAAGTTGTCAAAAGGAAGAAGAAAGAGAAACTGAGAAGAAATAATGACGGGGTTTGCAATCGATGCCAGCGGCCAGTACACGAAAAATATGCCTTGGAATTGACTCCATCTACTTACTGTCAATCTACTTTCCCCTGAGAAAGGACTTCACTCGATATCTGCCGTCGAATATGATTCTAGTGCACCTACGAATACAGCCTACTCCATCTCATTAAAATGAATAAAGATTATAAGATGAATTAACACTTTCAAAGATTTTTCAACCCAATGTGGGCTTACATGATAGAGATTTACGCCGCGGGCTACAGTTTAACAAAAGGTCTGGATTACATTTCTCATTTTTATGAGTATCTTTTTTTTTTTCATCTGCGTGCTTCCTGCTTTCTAACCATGCAGCATATTGTATCGAGTACAAAAACTACTCTTCACTGCACCGCGCAACTTGACGAACCTTGCCTCGGTCTTTTTTCCCACGAGAAAAAGCCTGGAAATGATGATGATGGTCGCTAGGTAATCTATCCCGTGTGTCTACGCACGACCGTCTCTCTCCGGCCCATATGCGCGGACGTGGTTTGCCTATTCTACTCTATTTTCTCTCTCTTCTCCCTTGTATCGGCCGGTTGCCATGGAAACTGTTTTCATGAAAGGGGATTTTGCGCCAATGCAACTACGTCATTGGGAATCCGGTCGGCGCAGTCAACAAGCTTCCCCTTTTGGGCGAAAATAACAAAATTTAGCATTTGAAATCGAATACTACACAAAGGCTATGTTTATGCACTGTCTTTGTTTTTCTGTTATTCTTTAATGACTTGAAGGCAGAGTCCTCAGACCGCCTAAACAATTAGAACAAACACTTAGGTAAACCTTAGCCAGAAAAATTACACGTTCTTTAACTTCAACAAAGGGCATGTCACTCTACACAAGAGTGGATTATATTCAACTTCTTAGTAATATGGATTCAGGTAAGTTAATAATAATACGCCGATTTGGGTGTTGATGATAGCAGTGGTTATTACAACACAACGCAAAACGTTTGCGCACAGTCATCACTTGATCCCAGCATCTAGCTCTCTATTTTGCAGTGAGGCTCTGTTCAATGGGATGGTTGTGGAGATTGTAAGTCGACTTTCTTAGAGGTGATAATGTTGATGGTGATTATCACACTGGTGAGGGGGTGATAACAGAAGTAAAGGTAAAGGTGAAGCAGCCACGATGATGATGGTCATGTAGACCTACATGGCAACCATGAGGATAATGGCAAAACTGGGAGAATAAGTGACAAAATATAAATCCTAGTGAAATCAAAACATTTATTTCAGAACTTCGCCCAAAGGCACAATAATACCGTAACGTGAACACCTGTGTGCCTTTTGAAAATGGATTGATACATGAAGGTTTGACACTTTGCGTTCTTGCTATGTGTTGTTCCAATTTCACTGTTTCCTGAGCACGTCCTTCCCATGCTAGAGTCGGTCCATTTATCTCCCACTGACGATGCAACTTAAGACAACTAATAAGCCAGAACTGCAGACTACATGTACTTCAGTGCTATTTTCCTTAGTGTGCATCTCTCATAGGGTTGTCGATATTTTGGTCGTATCTCTACCCCCCACCCCTCAGATTTTGTCCCTGTCAAGGCTTTAAAAGCTTTAAGACAAATAGACTCAACAAATGGAAAAGTGGATGACTGCCACTACAAACTGAAAGTATAAAAAAAAGTGGACATTTAAAGAATGGTTTGTCGCGGCAGGTTGGTTAAGGAGTGGGCGTTAAGCAAGTCTTTGCCCCGTACTTGGTGAAAGCTGCATCTCAATAAATGCCGAGACCAAGGCTCAATTCAGCCTGGGAATTAAACATTTAAGTTAGTCGGTTAACACCTTGTGGGTGGTTCTATTTTTACACGTACAGACTAGATCTTGTATCTTCAGAAGAGACTGATTTTTATTTCTAGTAGAACACTCACCCAACGGTTTGGCTCTGAAAATGCACACATTTCACCTAATGTAAGAAACTAGCATGTAGCGCAGGTGGTTGATAGCCAGAAACTGAACGATCGACGTGTAGTTGTATGGTGGTGAGCTCAGGTATTAGCAGGACCTCTTCCGATGAGAGACCAAGGAACCTATGGAAATTAAACTGAATTACGCCAACGTTAGGGCCTATCCAATTATTGTTTATTTATATTTTCAAACTACAAATCAGTTGTAAGTGAAGAGAGAAGACTGTCATTATTCAAATTAAAATTATCTCTTTCCTTAGAATGAGGGAAGGCACATTTTACTCTTCAATTCGTTTGGTTCACACTTTTGTTAATCAACTGAAGCTGTTAAAGACACATTTCTCCCTCAAACCTCAGATCTAAGATCAGGTTGGAATCAGTTAGAGTTTACCATTTTTCATCTCCCCTTCTCCATTCCACGCCTACTAGTAGTCCCCCCCCAAGAGGGTTCAATGTACGTTCTTAGTTATCGTTTCTTATTCCCAAGTCGGCGGTCAAAGGCTAACACGATGGAGAGTCCAATGTCCACGTCCATCGGAAGTGCTGCAGCACTTGGCATCCTCATCACGCTACGTGAGCAGAATCTTCTCCAGATATGCAGCATCATGGATACCAAAAGTGCATCTCGTGCAATGACCCAACTCCTTCAACACTCCATGCAGGAGAACTGGACTCAGCAGGCAAAAGGAAAAGATATGCCTGTTAGAATGTATACCTTCTCGTTTTCTCGTACACAGAGTCAAGAGAAAGTCTATTAAGAATCAAAGGGCCTCGTAGTTGATGTGTGAAATCGTGTTTCAGAGGAACCAACGGTAAAAGAGTGCAGAAGCTCGTATCAGAAAGTTACTTCATACCAGAAGCAGAAACAAATTCAGCAAACTAATTATACAGGGGAAAATATCGGTAATTATTGTTACTGGCTAAGCCATTTTTGGTTCATTTTGTTTCTAATGGCTGATTGAAAACTCCAGTGATCTTTACAAACGGGAGAGGCACAAAGGAATATCGCTACTGAGTAGGCAGGGATCCAAAGAATTATTTCCATGGAAACACACGCAATTACATTTTGTTAATGCAGTAATACCCAACAAAAATACAACTTCTTTTGTGTCCATACATCTGCACATTCTGCTAGGCCTATCGGCAAATTTAAAAACGGTATGAGATCTGGTGTGTTTGAAGATTATTACAAGAATATGGCTTTGAATTTGCGATAAGGAAACATCGCCGGCTGGGCTTGAGGATGACTTGCGAAGCATAAGAGTGAGTGGGCAGATGATTCAAGGACAAAGTGAGTAGCAAAGACAAAAAGATTGCAGTAAGAACAAAAAACACAGGATCCAAGACCAACGCTGGCATTGGAGAGATAGGTATTGCATGTTTTATGATACACCACCATAAATTGCCGCATGTGAAGGGGATCTATGTTGGCCGTGAGACGCAAAATCGATGTGCTAAATCACGTGACAAGATCGATAACTTGGAAAGGGCACGTCAACCCTCCTGAAAGGGGAAGGAAAAAATACGTGGTTGTTATGCAAATTCGTCAATTTGACACTGGCTAGGCGCTAATCAATTGTTATCAACGCGAACATTGGTGAAATAAAAGTTGTATTGAGGATGACGGACGGCACACTTGGATCGAACAGAGGGGACATCCTGACAGATTACAAAGGGGGTAGACGGTTGCACGGCAACCATCGAGGGATGATGGACACAATTACAAGGGCGACGGAGATTATCATTACGCTGGGGAACTTTTCTGGCCTAAAGAGGGCGCTGTTTAAATCATTATTGACGCGACAAAAAAAACACGAACATTCAAATTGGAGCGTTGTATTGCCACGTTTTTCTGAAACATCATGTTCATATGTGGAAACCTCAGGGTATGGACACATTAGCAGCAAATGTGAGGCACTTTTCGATACACCTTCCTTTGAAAACTTAACTTCCAGACAGAACATCAGCAAAGTAAACCCTGACTGTACCATCCAACCTCATAATACACCCTGAACTGACACCTTTTAATCGGTACATCGACAAGAATAATCAAATCAGTGCTCTGAAATATGTGATTGCCGAAAAGGTACTCAGTTACCGAAAGCTCGGCAATGACGTATTTCAGAGCACGATCACAGCGCTACGCAGCCCTTCAATATTTGTCTGACCATTTGATCAGTCCCTTCCCAAAGAAGGGCGGAGACATGAGGAGGTGGGGGAGACTGTAAGCTGGACAGGTCCATAATATGGTTGAAAGAGTAGAATGGCATCATTGTTACAAGGAGACTGGGAGAAATCAGACTCTTTCTCTTCAAGATAAGATCTTTGATGAGCCAGTCAGTATTTTAAAAAGCCAAGGTCTTTCGGGAACAAAGCGCACTAGTCAGGGTATGGCTGCGTTGATAGGACAGAGTATCACATGCGCGTGCGTAACTATTCGTGTTCCCAAATAGCCTTGTGCTGAGCATGCACTGTTGGAATACCGAACTGGTTCCTTGAGCAAAGGGTAGGAAGCTAGGCCCAGTCTGTGTGTCATATCTGGTGCAGTTTTAATTATAGGTTCACATTCTACAAGACAAAGAAAAGCACACAAACTACAAACACATCAATGACACACTTTTTATTGATTACTTTTTCCAATGGTACAAGTAAACATACACAAATTGAGCATATTCTCTAATGTACACTATGATGAGATATAACACTACAGTCGTGCAGTGACAAGACAATACAAAGCACTCCAGCATTATCACCTGATCAATCGTGACATGGTCATGTGATCTCTGTCGAATACATCAGTAGCAAAAGAGACATTGTGTGTTGTTATTCAGTTGAAAATATACCAGTTTCTCAAAAAAACTAGAATTCATTCTTCGTACATTTTAACCTGACTAATAATAAACTCTTCCTCTTTACTAAACATTTATTAAACTATCTTGTTTGTTACAATACACTGTACACTGATCAGCTATGGTGACAATCTCAGTTTTTGCGATCCAATGAAAATAAGTTTTTTCTTATGTCTAAATTACATGTTCCTGGTCCTGATTTTGACAAAAAAAATAAGTAAATCATGTCATTTGTACACATTTTTTATAATTATTTACATGCAGTGAGTAAAATCAGTCATACAGCTTTCTGTTCATTTTCATTTTTCAGTTACGAATTTAAAAAAATGTCAACAAAGCATGCTTACTGTATTCACAAAATTCCTAAGAAACCATAGCTCAAGCCGAGAAATTAACAAAATACAAGATGACATATACAGATTTCTTAGAGTGAAGCTTATACTTCACATGATTCATACTTAATGTGCTGTTTACATCAATTCCTTTGCAGATCCTTACCAAGTTGCAGCCATGTTTTTAATGTTTCATAAGCTTACAAGACAATGGAAAAGGCTGAACAGAAATAACAGTCTCGTTAACAATTATTATCAGGACACATAAGAGTAACAGTCTGGCACTGTTAAGAAACCGCACGAAAAATGCTAGAGTATTTAAAAGGTCTAAATATACACGATAAATGTAGGTACAATGTAATCAGAAGTCTAATCTGCTGCTCAGATCTCATATACTAGGACTCCAGCTTGAATCCATCACAATGAAAATCAAAAAATGTGGAATACATGCCAATAACTAGCAACAGTACTTGGGCTGTCTTAAATTCATTTGATTAATGAACACAGAAAAGATAATAGATGGGTTTACATACATCACGTACATGTAAATCTCAGCTCCGACTGTCTCTGCATATTCAGACTAGCTCTGATTGGATAGTCGATAACCAGTCAGAATGCTTGTAACCCACATTTTTGGTTGATCTAGCAGCAAAACTAGTTCAAACAATTCTCATGCAAGGGAGGATCCAAAAGCATTGTATTTTTGGGGGTGAGACCTAAAAAATGAAATTTGTTCATTTAACCTTTTCTAGCCTTTCTCAGGGATGAGACTACATATTGGGGCTTTTACACCCTCTTGGATGGGAATTTGAAATAAATCAAACTAGAAACAATTGATTTACTCTCATTATTAAAAAAAAATTATCTCCTTTTGAGAAAGGGCAGTGAAGCCTGTTGGTCCCCCGGATCCATCCTTGTTCTCGTGAAGGAGTCCTACCCCCCCCCAAAAAAGCAAAAGATATTCCCTTCCAGCTTTACTTACAGGTGGAAAACTGAACTACAATAAAGCTTGCTGCTTCTACATGTACATTTATATCACGGACCAAGATTAAGAAAGTCTTTAAACATTTTGGAATGTTCTTTCTCAGGTTTCCAGGTCAAAGTTACCGTAATTATGCTAGTTTTAAGAAGGCAAAACTTTCTTTAAAAACAAATTTGTACCACAAGGGTAAAAATACACAAATTAATTTTACAAAAGAAAATGACATTTGGAATATTTACTTGTATTCTTTACACTTTTAATTTTTGTGCTTTTTCCTAAACCTAAAACTGTGACATGCCTCGTTATTAAGTACAATAAAACAGAATCAAATCCACATAATCATATTTGTAATGGGGGGGGGCAAGAAACTCTAACCTCTTTACCTGCACATTAAATGCTCACCTATGTACATGTAACTGAATAGCTGGGTAATGACAGGCAGCAATAATATTTATATTCATGACATTTTGAGTGGCATTTTGAATTCCAACATGAGACCAGCTGTGGGGTGAATTTCAACTACATATATGCACAGAAATCAACTGCATGACAACGTACACCCCACACTGACAGTTGTAAATGCTCAGGAATAATCCGGACATTTTCAACTCAAAAAGCTAACAGCAAAACTTCACAACAACCTGTTCACTGTGGTCATCTGTTCACTGTGGTCATTTCTGCAATGCTTGTAACACTAACCTGTCCACTGTGGTCATTTCTGATTAAAGGTAACCTGTTCACTGTGGTCATTTCTGGAATGCTAAAAGCAGCTGTGGTCATTTCTGTAAAGCTCACATTAAAAGCAACTGGTTCACTCATTTCTGAGTGCAAGTCGTGCTTGTTGAAGTAACCCAAGACTCCCATTTCTTTAGTTATTTCTGATTCATGCTCATTTTCATTCACATACAGGAAAGAGGAAGGAAATATACTTGCTATCAATTGGTGTAGAGAAAACACCAAACATTATTTCCAGGAAAAACCTACGCTATCATAAGCCAGCCTGAAAAACTTCTCTTGAATAGGCTTACTTTTCCGAGCAAAGATGCACTCTAACTTGCTGAACATTATTTGCTGCCTTACAACTACCTTATCCAAAAGTCCATATTAATATGTCCCACCATACATGTATGTAAATAATTTGCCTTGTAGTCATGTTAACTACAGGTATATAGACTGGAACTCACACTACAGCATTGTTTAAATACGAGTAAAAGGAAAATGCCACCCTCAAGTCGTACATTCACCTGACTGTGTACTTTAGGTGAACACATTTCTTGGCTTTTCCCGATCAAAGTCGGGCGTCAGAATTTCAAGGGCAAATGGAGGAACAGGATTTCTGGTTGTTGTTCCCTGAAATAATATTCAGAAAACCAAGGTAATGGGCTGACATGTTTCCAGATGCGAACTTTAAAAGATGAGCTCATGATTCTTTGAAAGTCAGAGGGGAAAGAAGTGATGTTACACATGGCACCTGCCGTAACAAATACTTGCATGTCAAAGGATTGCATTTTGCTGAGTAACCAAGTTCTGATGTGTCACCCATAGAAACTATTTCAATTGCGCACAAGCATGACAGGATTTCTTTTCATTTTCCCAGCAAAACATAACACCAAAGTTCCAGTACAGAAAATATATCAAGATGTAAATTTGCATTCATAGAGGTTCTCAAGTAAGTTATCTGTTAACTTCAAGAAAATAGGAAATAAATTTACAGGAAAATAGAAATGACTGATAGCACATGAAAAATCCCACAACTCATTCTGACTAGCTTTCATGTCATGATAAGCATTTAACAATGTCCGGTGGTACGTGAGAATCACACCTGACAGTGGGATATGAAGAGAGACAGTTCAGCTGAGGCCGTGATTAGGCAAGACTGCTAATATGCATGTTATGCTGCTAGCCATAAGCAGCCCAGCAGAGTGCCAAGCTGCATTGGAGAAGACAGAAGGAAAGGTCACACTTTGCTCCAGGCAACCTTCTCATCTCATCTCTTTCACTGCATTGCCTTCCAGCTTTTCATGCAGCGCTTATGTCTGTCCTTTGCTCACAACTAATGATAACGTTTCTGTATTAATATGATATCCAGGGCAGCTCAGAAAAATTCTTCCAGAAACTGCGAGGGTGGGTGCAGTCTTGTGTCTGTTTTGTCTTTACAAATTGATGATTGTATTAACCATACCTGAAAATGCAGTTAAGCCAAACAACATAATAAGTGCCTGGCTTGATAACACAACAATTAACAGATCAGATTCAATGATAACTGTGTTTTGCGTGACTAGAAATGATCTGTTACTTGGAGACCTAAACACACTTTCAACAACAGTCAACACAACCACAGAAATCACGGAACAAGTTGGTTGGTTGATGTCATAATGAAAAGTGGTTAGTTGTCAATTGTTACTTGATGTGCAACAGTTTCAATATTCAAATCTCCTTTGTCTATAACACACCATGCCTCTGTAATGAAATGAATATGCTTTTTTCTCTGCATATCTTTGGAAACATTATCAAGCATAGATTCTGAGAAATAAGCACCAAAGAACTTGTTCCCACAAGCAGCTTGATAAATAAATTCAGAGGCTAAGATATGAAGGAAAATATTATGAATATCTTAATCTTTGGGATCCAGGAGAGAAGATCAAACGAAAATAAATGCAACTACCTGACCAGTTACTAGCAAAATTGAAAGTCACCTCACTAATAAGAACAAAAAATACAATATTTGTGGACAGTAGCTTCAAGAATTCAGATTAGAAGACAAGTCTATATTTCCTGGGGGAAAGGGGGGGGGTTTCTAGGGTCAAATTGACAGCAAGCTACCACAAGAATGCAATCAAAATGGAAATGAATGAATTTCATTGCCCAAAGGAATACTACACTGCCTTCTAATTACTCCTGCTTGCTCCTTAAGCTGAACGGAGAGAGGCAACATTCTTTGTGCAAAAATAAGTAGACATCAGTGTAGGAAAAGTTGATGTAAAAAAAATGAAACATTGAGATTTAAGGAAATGTAACAGTTCCTGTTTCTAATAAAAATGGGAATTTACATCCAAAACTAAAATAAAATGTGAAGTGTGGCTATCTGATGGTCAGAATTTAAATGACTGCAAAACATGTGCAGCAATTTTTTAAGTATATTTCAAATGTCACTGAGAGACAGAACAATGCACTTTACAGGAAATAGAATGAAAAAAAACCAGCACAAAACTGTAGCAAGAAATACAAGAATATGGTAAGGTTATAATTCCAGCGTTTAACAGATGTCATCTAAAAACACATGCCTTGATTTAATTAAACTGATTTTTCATAATGACCATAGCAAAAGACACCTTTATCCAGACTGATGAAGCAAGTTATCCTGTGACTTTCGTCTGCTGTTCCAACATTCTACACAATTATAATTCTTACTTTCCTAAGAATATTAAATCAAGCTCTACACTTCTTTAATATTAGTGCGGGAATGGAAACCCAAAGTCCACAGGTGGGTGGTTCTAATGAATGCTTTCATAAATGGTAATTAGGAGTAATGTATTACCGATCCATCATTTGGGATGTTAACGAAATAATAGTCCATTATTAGATGAGTGACTGGTGGAAGGCATTTGTGACCCCTGACGCACTTTTAATACCAGTTCCATGAACATGTGCACCTGTCCGGAACATGTGCATTTTTACTTTTTCTCCCGAATATGCTTGGTTTTCCCTCTCACAGAATGTGTGTCAAATACTGCATACCACAAGTGCATGGGTAATTTATCCAAGAATTATCCTGTTGAACAGAATGTAGGGCTGGAAGCAAGTCTAAGGATAAATTGATAGGCCCCACAGCCATTACTTATGCACTAGGAGTGAATTTCCATGGGAAAATCTGCCTGAATCTTGCAGCAGGGCTCCTAGAAAAACTCTAAGTGCAGACTCCTGGGGAACGGTCAGGCATCAGTGGGTCTAACTGTGGCTTAATATAAGACTAAGATTACAAGTCATGATAGTCAGTACAACTGCATACAAAGAGTCAAGCTCTCAGAATCTAAGGGGTTTGGCATTAGACTATAAATGTCTGGAAGGCAAAGTCTCTGTACCTGGAGCATAAAATGAGTGTCACACAGCCTATGGTCATTATAAATGCATCAGAAATCATCCTGCCTTGCACAGATTTCATTACTTCATATCAGTCTGTGGAGGACAGCTGGCTAGTGTCTAAAACCAGGAGATCTCAATCACAATCCTGAGAATAATGCTGTAAGATCCAAAACAGGAAACATGTATCTCTTGCTATTGGAGAATTTTAATGGTAGAAAGTTAATTCAATAAATCTATTAACAAATTTGTTGGCCGTACTTCTGAGGCATACACAAACATACGTTCCTTTGACCAACAATGAGTGGATGCCATTTAATTCAAGACAAACAGTCAAGAGATTTGCTGAAATGTTTGAACTTCAAAGTTCAAACATAAAATTTACAAAATAATACTTCTTTCTGTATCCAACTGGCACTTAAAACAGAGCACAGTCCTGAGTCATAACTTGCCACAGTAATATCCTTGTACATAGATGGGATTCATCTCTTGAGGAACAGTCTGTCTCTTTCAAGTCGAAGATCTTAATAGCTAATTTCCTATTTCTAGGAACCTCTGAAGTTAGAACAATGAACTGTCATTTTGAAATTTTAATTTTGAAATAGGAATGTAAAAAGTATTTGAGGGGAAATGACATATCAGAGGAAAAGGGGTTTTTATGAAAAAAAAAATCAGGAAAACCATTTTTTCCACAGAGAAAAAGTAAGACATGCACTGAAAGTAAATTCAATCCCTTGGTACCTGACAGGATGTGGGAACCTAACGTCAATGAGTGCTAACCATGTCCCTATGATGGTGCTAAAAAAAGATGGAAGGTGGGCTATACCATTACTGTGAGAGGGGTGATCAACTATCAAGACAGCAGAATTGTAAAGGTTCAGACCTTGATTCTGCTATTGTATGATAATTCCTGGAAATTTACAACAATGCACCTTTCCCATCAGATTCATATACCTCCATCTAAGATCATACTTGATACTGAAGTATCAGAAAATATTCTTGCATGTCGCAATTTTGAGCTGCAATGAACACCCACGCTGGCAAAAATCTTGACTACCACTCACACACTTGGCAAGGGACCCAGCATGCACCTCAGAGCAAGAGTGTTGCAACCCTTACTTCAAGCAAAAGCAAACCTCCCTTTCCTTGGTATTTCCTAAATGTACAGAAGAAATCAGATGACATGAGAAGATTGGTCATTCAGACAGGTGTTTAGAACCAGAGCATGCGTATATTACACCTTCATCTACATTTTATAATACAAGGACATGAAACTTCCCAATCTTATTTGAGAAAAAAACAGGAAATGTAGAAAATGCCCCAAAACAAGAATTTCTACAAACATTTATTCTCCCTTGAAAAACCTGTATAGTGGTTTATTCCAGAATTTACCCAAAGGACATCTAAACTGACTACATTTGTCGCAGCTATAAAGTCTAGGCCAGACAAACTCTCTACAACACCATGCCCAGACTTTAAATCAAGAAATGAAGTGATGATAAGGGAGGCTGGTAGACCTCTCTGGGGGTCATGACAGGTCATGTAAGGTCACAAAGGGAGGACCCCCCCCACATATCTTAACAATGGCCATAGGGGACATACATTACTCACCTAAGCTTCTATGGTAGCTTCAGAGCTTTTTATGTAAACCCTAAATTGCAACCAAGGCATCTTTCTACATGTAGTCACAATTTTTATTGTTACAATGCTAAGACCAAGTGGCCAGGGCAATAGGGACAGGTTGCAAGAAAGGACAGATAACCACAGTGGACAGATGACTTACATGTATGAACAGGGCCAACAGCTCTATGCGACCTACCGGTACATGTAAGCGGTCAAAATGAACATGTTTTAAACAGAACAACATGTTGCATTAATTAAAAATACATGTACGTGTAGGTAAAGCTTACCATTGGTCACTCTCAACATTCAATATGTTAGACACCATTTCATAGAAAACACCAGATAAATATTGTATTACTAATATCCAGTAATTCAGAATCTTGTATAATCTATTTTAAGACACACACTTGTTGGGACCAGGTTAAAATAAAAAAAGATTAAAACAAAAACTAAGTTTCAGAAAATAAATGTACAAATCAGAAATCACTTGGTTTGATCACAATGAAAGTTGCATTTCATCAAAAATAAAACTGTATGTATTCATTCAAAATACATGTACTTCTCTCATCTCTTAACTTCTACCTTCAGGGAAAAATCCGTTGGGAAGATTAAATCAAATGTTCCAGTTTAGGCGCAAATTATTTCATGAAACTTTCTCTATCTGGTTGTGTTACTCCTCAAATGAAATATTTTTCAGACTTTTGAACTTACAAAACTCATTGTTATGTAACCCGAAAATACCAACTCACCACTCGTAACATTGCTATGGCAACCATTCCAATTAAATTAAAATAAGCAAGCAGGTCAGACCATACGTACAATGTAGTTTTAAGATATGACAGTGGATCAAAGATTGCTACAGTACAACCCTGAATCCTGTCATGTTGATCTTTGACACATGTGAAGAAACATTTAAAACACATCAGGTTTGAATGTCATTATCTTGATGATACAATGTAAATACATGAACCTAAATTACGACAACTGTCGAATGACTCCCACATGTACGCGTATGTCCACATTTGTAGCAGACATTTGGAAGAAAAACTGGGAGGGGCAGGTACATTTCAAAATCTAATAGTTGATCCATGAAAGGTGTCAATGCTGAACACAAATCAAGAATACAAAAAATCAAGGGTTTGTATTGAAGGGTGATAGCTTACCCTATTCAGTAATATTTGAAGTAAAGGTTCATGACAATAGTCAGTTCATTCTGCACAAATATTCAATATTTATAATTTATCCGTCTGCAGAAAAAAATACTGTAAACAATTCAAATACTCATTTTGCAATGGCAGTAATATGCACATCATCTCTGAAAGCGGTTACAATTGAATGACTGAAACCAGATTGTGTCAGTTTATGAGGTGTCCATTTGTTTTTGTTTTATGTTCACATAAAAGAAGTTCTATACCAAGTATAAACATTAATCCTACATGTACATTTAGAAGCATTTAAGAAACTTAACATGGCATAACTATTCACTAATTTCCATACACAATACTGGTTACATTCTGTCTTGGTTAATCACATTAAATTTGGTGCAAAATTAAGCCATTTCGCAGCATATTTTAGTGAGCAACAAACGTAAAAAATATAACTTTTAAAAAAAATCAACCTGACAACGGCTCACACAATAGCGGTTTTAAAATACTCATGAAATCCTTCACATCGAACACAAATATTATCATCTTTAATTGAAAATTACAGGGTACACTTAGGTATACAGTGGGCATTTGCATTTGTACAGCGTCATCTTTCGCTTCTACATGAATGAAAAAATAAACTAAAACGTTCATGCTTTATGTTGAAATCCAACAGCTTCACCAAAAAGTAAGAGACTGCCATAAGCTGAATGTACATGTACTAGTATGTGGTCCAGCCATCATTTCATCATATACAGACTATCCAAAAAAAACCTTATTTACATTCAACATCTTAACAATGTGTATCAGTCAAACTCTGGATAAATGTACTGGTAGATGATGTCACTGTGTGATCTAAGGTAGGGCGCCCTCTGTTGATTGGTTAAAAAGCCCACAGGCATGGAACACTGAAGCGCTACAAGTATGTAGATAATACCGAGCATTAGAAAACAGCATGACTACAGCATACAAAAATGACTACGTCACAAAAAATCTAAAGTGTGAGGCAGGGCAGTATGTACAAAAAATGATGCGGTATTTTGGGCCTTCTAATGCAGACACAGTGGCCAACACTGTTCTACATGTGAACAAGATTGACACCATCTACTTCTTTATGTTACAATACAAAAAGTAAAAGTATCTACAAACCTCCTTTCATTTACCTTATTTTGTATAATCTGACAACAATTCAGGGTTGTGTTTCCTTCAGAGAAAAATAAAAAACATCTCTAACATCTTAACCAGAGCTGTTCCTGGTCTCCTTTCTCAGCTTACTGATAAAGTTCTCAAGTGAGAAGCCAATGTAGCATTTCTTTCCAACATGCTAAGCAGCTTGTCTGTAAACCAACAACTTACACCTGTTAAGTGAGCAATCTTGTCTTCCATTGGAACTCCAACTTGGCACAGTGCAAAGTAACAACTGTACCACACAATGTAAGTAGTATGGAGCCCATATTCCACAGTTAGCATTCCAGCAACATAACAAGCTAGGCACCAGGTTCTACAGTCCTACTCACATCTGTATGAATATCACTCCAAATTTGTTGAGGTTACATGTGCCAGAGCGACCTCCAGTCTTTGGCATTTGTCCAAAGCCACAATCACGGAAGCTGTTTCCTTCCTGATTACGTCGGCGGCAATTTCTTGATCCACACTTCCTCAATTCTTCTGATGCTGTTTAAACTCTGCTGGTTACATGTATTTTTTTTTCTTTTCAATTCACCGGTTGGTGTTCATTATCAAAGAGTACCACCCAATTCTATTTCTGGACGAGTTTTTGTCATTTTAACACCAGTATCGGATATGTTTACTTAATGAGCAACATACATGTATATATACCAAATGCTTTGTTTGTGAATTGAAAACAAACGGAAGATAAACAAACGTCAGTTGTTTAACTTTTACTTCTATTTTCATTTTTCCTATGCTTACTCACCTTACACAGCCATTAAACAATTGCAACTGGCAACAAAACCACTCCATTACAAACCAACTTACGATTTCTGGCAGGGTCTTTTGGGAGGACACGGAACTTTTCTTAGGCATTACCAAATCGGTCTCCATAAGGGGCTTCTGAGATTTGAGGAGACAATCCAACATGCACCTTCTTGGACAAGAGTCGTCCTGACAAAACCAACTCCCTGAAGCTTTGTTAAGCTGAATTCACTCAACAGTCTCGTATGATACGATACAGGTTCACCTGTAGAAAGAGACACAAACAAGGGAACAAATCTATTTAGACAAAGAATTCTTTGAACGATAAATGAAGCAAGAAGGGTTGACTGACAGGAGATAAAGGCCATGACTTCTACTTTGTAAAATAAAAAGCCACTGACCACAAACAAAAAGCCAAACAGTCCTCCTCAGAAAAGAAAATTAATCTGAAAAAAAATGTGTGTAGTTAACGATGCAAAAATGTTAAGCTGAGCAATGCTAATGGCTTTACAGAACAATTAAAGAACTTCTACTTCAATTTTGAATATCAAATACATGTATGTCTGTGAGGTGGCGAAACTTCAGAGCTCATATCCGTCAGTAAATTTATTAATAGCCTCCAAGGAGGAAGATGAGGAGGAAATGTGAGCTGTCCATGGAAGGTTGACAGAAGGGTCATCAAGGGTGTGTTGAGTGGTAACCAGTTGTCTAAGGTCATAAAGGCCATATGAAGGAGTCACGCAATGGGACTGGCTGAATACCTGGTTGTCTCATTATCGGTGGGATACTGGTGTTTACAGGATAAAATAGACTGGCAATTGGTTTTACAGAGATGAGAACTCTGTCTTCTGATGATGTCGTAACGAGCTTGAACAAATACATGTATAGAATGCAGAATGGACATAAGATTTCAAGCAACATCAGAGCAGAATTTGAAATTTAAAATAAAAGTGGTTCAAGACCTTGGAGTCTTTTTCATTTGCTTAAGAAAGATCATGCTAGAAATTAAACAAATCCCTGAAACGCAGAAACACACTGCAACACACCTTGAAATAGAACACATGCACTCATTTTGAAAGTGTTCAATGTGCCTTCTTACCACACATTTTGTACATGTACTCTTGTATTGTGTGGTTATCACTCTATCCTCTCAGTAACTCAAAAAGCACAAGACAGTACATACTTTCCAGACATAAACCTTAAAACGAGCTTGGCATTTCATCTATTACAGCTAATCAGACTGACATCTTTTCTGCTTCACAATCTTTCCAGATTTCTATCCAAGCTTATTTCAACGAGAAGTTCTTTATCTGGAGCACTAGGCAAAGAAAACCATGAGGGGTAGACTCCATTTATGAACCCTCTTCAAACCACTGATGGAATGACAAAAACTGATATCTGACTTTCTACACAGTGACTAAAAGGATGACAACCAATGAACAAGACCTAGACAGAGTACCAGGGATCCTTGCATGCAACACGAGAACTAGCCAAGCCCACTGGGTATGGTAATGCAAGACAAAGCAAGATATCCTATACCATTGGACGTGAGATGAGCCTAAAAGACAGGAGAAAATCTCTCTTTTTTTCCTCTGCTGCAAGAGGCTTTCCTGAGCGTCAAAATCTTGAAAGGAACAAGGATATCAACACTATTCCTGGCGTTGGAAATGTGCAAAAGGAGGACTGTTTTGTGTTGGCTTTTCTTGTCCTCTTCAGACTGCCCTAGAGTCACTCTGGAGAAATACAATTTTCTTTCTCCTGTTTGTAAGCTGAGACACAGTAAGGCCAATTCTATCAGGAAGACTTGCAGTGTCTAATTCTCTTTTCTGATCGGGTAATTCAAGTCTCAAATGAGTTCAGTGCAATTTTACAGGACTATATTTTTAGGTGTAGGCTTGAATAAAGAAAATGGGAAAAAATGGACCATCATGAAAGAGTTGGCTTTCCAGGAAGTGACGCTAGGGGAGCAGGGAATTCAGCGGGGGCGTTTATTGGTCTGAGATGGATTGGATTACAGCGTCCCTGCTGATCAACCTCAATGGATTCAAGCACTGAACAAGACTATATCTACAGGTATATGGAGGCTCTGTGATATGAAAAGTAAAGAAATGAATAGCACACACCCAGGTCAGCCAAATGTATCTCATCAGCATCAAAGAAGTCGGTAAGTATCATGCTGATGACAACTCTCATGTTATGTCATGCATAAAAAAAGCTCACTACAACCTGCTCTTGGGCTCTATCAACCAAAAGCTTTCATGGGCATAAAATGTCAAAGATTTTCAAATAACATGAAATATAAAATACAAAAGAAGTTAAGTTCTTATTTTGTACAAGGGAAAAAGAATTCTTTCAGAATAAGAATTCTTGGACTTGATGAACTTTAAGAAAGGTCCTGAACCTTACAATCATGGGCAGTGATTTGTGGACTGTCCAGAGAAAATATACACAATACGTGCATTTGCCATTTCTATCCAATAAATCCTTTACACTACCCTTGTCAAACAAGGATCATCTCTATAAATAAATAAAGTCATTGCTCATGCCTATGGTAGTAAACCCTCCATGGCACAAGGAGTCCAGGAAAAGATTGCCAAAGCAGGGACTATTATCATGAACCCCATTTTGCACAGGAAAATTTTAGCAAGGCCAACTTCTCGGTTCACCGACAGTGAGGATGCCAAACTGTTATAAGAAGTAAGCTGTCTGTGACTGACTGGCAGTTGAGTTGCTGATCAGTACCAGTACCGGTAGCTTAAGAATACGTGGTGGCCAGCTAGAAAAAATACAGAAAAAAATGAAAAGCTCTCATCCTCATTTTGGAAAAAACCCAGACGATCACCTGTTTTTTTTTTTCTAGGCCTGACGATGAGTATTCTACTGAAGTTCTCAACGAAATCAAACTCAGTTCAGTTTAACTTTTATCCCCAGATATAACAACCATATTTTGTCTTTATGTAGTTTTAAATGTTTGTGGAATATGTATGAAAAATATGTGGAAAATAAAGTAAAGTGAAACCTGAAATAGAGTTTTCTTCATTAAGTCAACAAACCAAATATATTGTTCATTTCCCTTATGGTACCATTTGGCCAATCCTGTCTCTATGTACAATTTGCTAACCAGCAACTCCATTACATTCCACAGCTGTTGTCAGTAAAATTTCAACTTGAACCAGTTATAGCTAGTAATATTTGCATTCTAAGAGATAGCAAGAAATATCGAGAAACCCTTGGACCACACACCAAGAGTTATCATGGAGTGACACAGATCCTACTTAGTGACTTGGATATCTTCAGGGGCCATTGATAATCAGAATTGTAAGCTTGGATTAAAGTAATTGATCGTTTGTGTCCTTTTATGGTTGGGATATAGACAACTTGTGCTATCATATTAAAAATTCAAACTTTGTGAAATTATGCTGTTACAATATAATTATATATAATGTACAGTTTATGCATGATCCCAATTATGCACATAATCTGATAATGACTCAGGACAGTATGGAATTTCTGTCTAAATATTTCCACCAAATTATTGTCATTGTTGATTTGGACAGCAAACAACAGGAAAATTACGACCCAAAATATGGTCATGTTTGGCCAATTTCTGATGTCTTGGGCCACTTGACCATAAATCAGACAGAAGGATCAGTTCATGGTTGAGGCAATGTTGTTTACAAATGGTAAACATACATTACAAAATGTGAGTAAACCATTTGTAAAAACAATATGCACTCCACAGGGCATATCACAAGTGTCTAGATATTGCCATTAATTTGCACAAATGATTCTCGGCTATCACAAGAACTTCTCCCATCCATCAAAACAGGAATGACAAAGATCCCATCAACATTTTTTAGCTGGGATATTTTAACAAGCAGTGATGACCAAACTCCCATCTGCAATTGCCATTTTTTGATCTTCCTCTGAGTCTCAAAGCCACTGTGCCAGCCCTTTATACCACTGCCAAGCATGCAGTGAATGAAGTAGGCCTCTGGGTATAAGCCTACCTCTCTGCTTCCTCAAGTGCAATCACTCCCCAACCAGTGATGAGGAATTCTTGATGGGTCAAGGTCTAAAAGGGTGGAAACTGCACAACCATTACACAATGCTCCTGGGGGGAAGTAACCTGTCAGAAACACAGTCCAGCTCAGCTTGTGTCAGATCATTCGGAGAGAGAAAGACGAGAGGGCTTGAATGGCAGGCACTAGAACTGGGGTCTTGACATTAGTCCAAGCATATTTCCTAAATGGAAACCACCTCTAGATTTCTATGATTGGACCTACATGTCGTATGAACATTTGTCAATATGCAATGTTCACATTCCCAGCTTCAGTACTTTGGTAAGTTTAACAGTGAATAAGGCTGTTAATTACAGAAAACAGGGTTTTCAAACTGGCAACAAAATTAAAAGAAAAATAGCACCAACATACTCTCTTGAAATGTTTTCTTTCTTCACAATGTGAAGGAAATTGACAAAGTCAGAATAGGCCATGAACTTCAAGGGTTTTAAAAGTTTTGAAAATAAACTAGTCTTGCGTTTAATGTGTAATAAATCACATATTCATTACCAAATCATGTCTGTATTGCGTCTGCATTTTTGGCAATTTTGCCGAAAATTTTGAACGGTATCTTCGAGTTTTAAAAAAATTTCCACAATCTGACGGCTGGCAGCATTGTTGAGAAACAAAATTTGTATGACATAACACCTGAAAAAAAAAAACTAAAAGTGGTCTCTGTGGCACAACTGGTTCCACTCCAACATACATGAACATGGAGCTACTGTACATGTGCGTGAACCGTGTACCAGGGATCAATCTGTGTGCCGGGTCTACTGTGCTGCATTATCTCATTTCTGTCAAGAGTTTGTGCTCCTTTCTTCATGATTTACAATAATGCTGAAATGGTGCATCATTGGTGGATGTACTAGAAATGCAGCAAAAGAACCGGTATTGAAATTCTTCGAGTTTCTGAAGAATGAGAGCATTCTTGATGTTCATGCTGTCATCCGCAGTTATGTGTGCTCTGCATGCCTAAAGAAAACCCACTGTGGTATTTCCTCTCCATGGTAATACATTAAAAAATCAATATTCATTAGATGCTAATGAGACGTGATGACACGTCCATTTTTACAATACCGGACGGGACTCGCAGGAAAAATGGGTACAAAAACTTTGTTTTTTTAAGACGAAAATGTGTACTGCAAGGAGTATTTTGATAAGCCACTTTTATCAGACTTAGCTATTCTGAATTGGATTCATGAGA